AACCCGACAAATGGAAACAGGGAACCTGGGGTGGGGGGAAAGCTGACACATTGCAGGGATTGCAACCAATGTCACAAAACAATTTGTGAATAAATTTTTTGAATGAGAAACTAATATGCTCTGTAAACTCACACCTAAAGCACAATAAAATTGTTCAAAACAAAAAATGAAAAACTTTATCTTGACTTATAGTAGGCTGTTTACAGGGTGCTGTCCAAGCAATTCAGGATGTTATGCAATATTTAGTGTATGCACCATACTACCTTTCTAAAAATCTGACAAACTATGTATTCCAAGAACATCTAGCTCCAAGGACTTTGGTAATGGATTGTGGACTCATATGATATGTCGTCATGTGTTCTTCTACTTCATCTTTTGTCATAAGTGCGGGTTAATTCAGCTCTTACACAGTACAAGCCAGCCAATCCACAGTATCTTAAAAAGCAGATATATTTTCACAGAAAATGCGCAACTTGCCAGATTGTGTACGTAATCTTGTGAGGTCAAACATCCTAACCTCAGATGAGTCAAACTGCAAAGGCTAAGCTTGCTACGCCAAGGCACCACCACCCCTGGGAGGCAGCTGTTGGAATTTTATGTAGAATACCCAGGACCAGTCCAGTCACTATCAAGTCGATTATGACTCATAGTAACCCCATGTGTGCAGAGTAGAACTTGTCCAAAGAGTTTTCAAAGCTATGACCTTTCAGAAGTAGATTGCCAAGCCTGTTTCCAAGGCGCCTCTGGGTGCGTTCAAATCACCAACCTTTCATTTATTAGTAGTCGAGCACTTAATGTTTGCACTACCCAGGGACTCCTAGAGTACCCAGGAGAGTGATTCTCAACCTTAGCTTCACATTGAAATAACCTGAAGGCTTTAAAAAAAAGTACTGATACCTGGGACTCCTCTTCACCAACACCACCACCACCCAGGTCAGAAGTGATTGACCTGGGGTGCAGCATGGGCTTCAGGATTTTTTAGTGTTCCCTGGGTGCTTCTAATGTGGAGCCAAGGTTGAAAACCATTGGGCGAACAGACAAAAACCCACCTATAAGACGTGTCCCTTAAAACTGATCTCCTTCAGAACAGGATACAAGGAAAAGATTAGTCCAAAGGACTAATGGGCCTCAGCTACCAAGGCCTCCACCAGACTGAGTCCAGTACAGCAAGATGGTGCCCTGCTATCACCACTGACTGCTCTGACCGGGATCACAACAGAGGGTTCTGGACAGAGCTGGAGGAGGATGTAGAACAAAATTCTAACACACACAAAAAAGACCGGATTTACTGGCCTGAAAGAGACTGGAGAAACCCTGAGAGTATGGCCCTCAGACACCCTTTTAGCTAAGTGGTGAAGTCATTTCCGAGGTTCACCGTTCAGCTGGAGATTGGACAGCCGCATAAAACAAAATGGGACTAATGAGGCACAGCAGTCCAGGGACAGGGACTAGAAGGCAGAAGGCGACAGGAAAACTGGTGATAGGGAACCCAAGGTTGAGTAAGGACATTGTTGACATGTAGTGAGGTTGTTAACCATTGTCATAGGGCAATATGTGTACTAACTGTTTAATGAGAAACTATTTTGTTCTGTAAATCTTCATCTAAAGTAAGAATAGCAGCACAACTGGAAGAACGTAATCGATGTCACTGAATTGTGCATGTAAAAATTTTTGAAACGGTCTATCTTTGGCTATGTGTATTTTCACCAAAAAAAAAAAAAGGTCCTTCAAGGTCGAGAAGGGAGAGTATTGACATGTCGTGCAGTTGTTAACCAATGTCATAAAACAATATGTGTACTGACTGTTTAATGAGAAACCATTTATTCTGTAAACCTTCACCTAAATTACAATAAAAAAAATTTAAAAAAAAAAAGGACCATACAGACAACTCTCACTAATTTTCTGACTAAAAACACCAACCCCATTCGCAAGGATAATCTAGATGATCCAGAACCTTCCACAAGTGGAGTTATTACCGCAACTGACAAAATGCCAATGTCATCCAACTCTTCTTCATTGTTGAAGTGAATTTTTATGATTTGTGTATTTTTTAAGGCATGTTTGTATGTATGTATTAGAATATATCTGTTAAGTTTATATGTACTATTTCTAACTCTCAAAGACAACAATTAGATTTATAAAGATACTAATAATAATGAAAACTAAAAAAAAGAGAAATGAAGTTCTGATACATGCTATGCCATGGATGAACCTTGAAAACATTATGCTGAGTGAAATAAGTTAGACACAGAAGGACAAATATTGTATGATTCCACTTATATGGAATATCTAGAATAGGCAAATACATAGAGATGAAAGTTTTTTAGTTGTTACCAGGGGTGAGTTGGAGTGGGAAGTAGGGAAGTATTGCTTAAGGGGTACTGAGTTTTCTGTTTAGGGTGATGAAAAAAGAAATAGTGGTGATAGTTGCAGGGGAAAAAAAAAAAAAAACTGATCTCTTTCACTGGCAACAGCCTAACCATATTTTAAATTTGAATTTAAGGGTATCAATCAATCCACTGGTAAGCTCTGGAAATTCAGCTGGAGGTGTGCTTAAATAATCCCAACATCTCAAAATTTTTGCCAGTGAAGAACATACCAAACTCCCCCAAAAAAAGCAAAAAAAAAAAAAAAAAACCTGTTAATATGTAGCAATATGACCAGTCAGTCCCTTTTCTATTGACCTTTGTTTTGTATTACCAGAATAGAAAAAAGTATGCTTCAAGAAATAAAAACTTGATCTAAATACATTTCTGATTTTCATCCTTTGTTACTACTACAAGCTTTAGCTCTCCATACTAAAAGGGAAAGGGGTGGGGGGGGGAACTAAAATCAATGAAAAAAATTTTAAACTCAGAATGAGAACATATTCAGAGGGATTTCTCTCTTGTTGGAAATGTTTTAGTTGAAGAACACGGTGAAAGAATGTCCACCTGACAATCCTTTCTTTTTGGTGAGACCTGCAATAAGAAACATACATGGGTATCTGCCTAGAAAGATAAGAACCAAGAGTTGTTCAGTCCAATGGATGGGGTCTCCGCAGCACAAATGCTCCGTTGTTTTTTACGAAGCTGCTAATCAAGTATTTTTTTGTCCTATATGCCAACCTAATTTGGCCTACATTGGAAATGTTTTAGTGAAATGTATATTAGAAGTTGTCCATGCTCAAAGGAAGAACTCCAACTTGTAGGTTGCACTCTAAAATGTTATAGCTAGTCTCCCATGTTTATTTAAGACCCAAATTAAAGGGCTTCTGCTTAGTACTTTCAAAAAATCTAGACTAAACCAGAAATGTTCTATCCCAGACCCCTACTGTTTGGAGGAACATTTTTTAGCCGAGAGTTTTATCACTTTTGTCAGAATGTCTGGCATCTAAACCTTATGTACTTATGGATTTAGGGTGAAAACAAACAATGGTTTTTCTGAGATATAATTTGTGTCCAATAAAATGAATTGATCTAAGTGTAGTAATGGATGACTTTTGATGATCGTATTCACCCATGTAACCACCACCCTAGTCAAGATATAGGACATTTCCATCACCCTAGAAAATTCCCTCCTGCCACTTTGCAGTCATTCCCCACCCGCCATACAGAAGCAACCACTTCCACAATGGTGTCTTATATTTATGTGGCCAGAAAATGGAACTGGAAACAATTTTACAAGTTAGAACTGACAAAAATAGCATTAAGAACCACATAGCTTAATAGACCACAACTACCACGGCCTCTACCTGACTGAGGGCAGCACAACTAGATACTGCCCGGCTACCACCACTAACTGCTCTGACAGGGATCACATTAGAGGGTCCCAGACAGACCTGGAGAAAAATGTAGAATCAAATTCTAACTGACAAAAAAAGACCAGACTTACTGGCCTGACAGAGACTGGAGAAACCCCGAGATTATGGCGCTAGGATACCCTTATAGCTCAGTACTGAAGTCACTCCTGAGGTTAACCCTTCAGCCAAAGATTAGACAGGCCCATAAAACAAAACAAGACTAAAGGGGCACACCAGCCCAGAGGCAAGGACTAGAACGCAGGAAGAGACAGGAAAGCTGGTGATTGGGAACCCAAGGCGGAGAAGGGAAGAGTGTTGACAAGTTGTGGGGTTGGTAACCAATGTTACAAAACAAAATGTGTACTAATTGTTTAATGAGAAGCTAGTTTGTTCTGTAAACCTTCATCTAAAGTACAATTAAAAAAAAAAGAACCACATAGCTAGCTCCATGTTGCCTGCAGGTGGTCTTGCTGTGCTTTCCTCCTCTATCAAAGGCTTGTCTAATGTATGGTAATGAAGCTTGAAAAAACCTGAGCTTGGTTCAATTAATAATGCCGTCTTGATACAACCTGCCAAAACTTTAGCTATATTTAAGTAGCTTCTTGATCTCTTTTTTTGATTGAAATAAGTTTTAAGTAGATATTTCTTCAGAGATGAAACTAATTCAAAGTCCTTTCCCACCATTCTAGCAAAGAGAGCTATAATGCATAATGATTTACAGTTGAAAATACAAAGCTTATTTCTTAAAATGTTTTATGTTATTATTTTGGGTTGAAGTTGTGAATTCAATAAGCTAAACATTGTTTCTTTTGTCCTAAGCCAATATATTTAATTAAAAGTTAGTACAAAAACAGCCTATACATATGAAGAAATCTGTAACCTTATGGGGTTTTAAGAAATATCTATTGTCTGTCATCAGGTCTGGAACCCTGGTGGTGCAGTGGTTAAGAGCTATGGCTACTAACTACAAAGGTCAGCAGTTCAAATCCACCAGCCACTCCTTGGAAACCCTGTGGGGCAGTTCTACTCTGTCCTATAGGGTCACTATGAGTCAGAATTGACTCGACGGCAATGGGTTTGTATTGTTTTGGGATCATCAGATGTACACATGTACCTGCCTTTGTATAAATAGTTGGGTTTTTTTTTTTTTTTTTTGGTATGTCAATAGCCCTTAAAAAAATTGACATTTTTATAATATTGAGTTTTCCATCATTAACATGATATATCTATCCACTCATCTGGATCTTCTTTATTGTCTTAATAAAGTTTTATGGCTTTTCACACACACACACAAGTTAGTGCACAGAGCGGGGTCTATGAACACTCTCATCCCTTTCAGAACCAATTTACTCCATGAATTTTTCAGTTCATTTTCCCCAATTTTAGGAGATAGGCAATGATTACTTACATAATCCTTACAAGAAAATCATGAAAAAGGCACTTTGAGATTTTGGTATACTACAACTATAAGAGATCACTGATATCAGCAGTGTTACTCATAAACTCAGGTGACCACTTCTGAGGTATAATATCAAGACAAAAAGTATGAGACCATGCATAGCGCAGCTCCCAGTTATCCTCAGCCAGTGTATCCATACCCTAGGGAGTCGTTTCTTTCTCATTACAATCAACGGTGAGCCGGCATCTGCAAGTCAGAGCTCTGTTTTGGGGTGTGTCGCTGCATGCTTGGGTGCCAGTTCTTTAATCAGATTCACGTAGTCTGTTTTTTCTATGCAGGCCCTGCACTCTTCTCCCCAGCTATACAGTATCTGTTTCAGCTCTGCCACTCTCATCTTCGACAGGTCAACAGATGCCAAGTCCAATTTCTTTTCTAAACAACACAAGAAAACACACACACACATATATATACACTCAAGACAAGAACTATGAAACACTTAGAAAGGCAAATCTTGTTACTTCTCTTGGTGCTGAGGACCCTGTGATCCAAAGAGGGGAACAGCTCCAATTTCTATAGAAACCAAGACATACCTAAAGAAAATTTAGCATCTACAAAGCTATTGGGATAGTTAGCGTTGTATCAGAGTTTTTCTCTGAGAAATGATCCTTGCTTCAAAACCTGTAAGGATGGGTCCTGAAGATCAGCACTCCTAAAATGAGTAATTGTGTTTCTAAGGTAAAAAGAAGGAACTAGATCAAAGGCGGTGCCTTGAGAAGGGCCTTGTGTGTGACCAACTGAAAGCCATAGATCGTGATTAACTACAAAGTCAGGATTCACTTTTTATACAAAAATATGTCTGTACTAAGACACATAAACATTAAATAAAAGTTTAAAGAAACCCAAGCATGTGGATGAAATTAGGACCATTTTCACTGATCCTTAATTGTTTTGAATCTCTGCTTAAACTAACCTGATTCCCCTGCCCCTACTGGGATTATTAATTTATCAAAGCACTCATTTAAAGCCCTTTGTGGTACACCTACCTCTCTAATGCCACTGCTTTGATGCCAGCCAACTTGGTGCCTAAAAATCTTTTCTCCAAGGTCTAACTTCTCTAGTAAGACTACTCTTTTCTTGTTTACATATTATCTGCAGAAAATGTCAAGAACCAAAAACAGAAACAAAAAATTAAGCTTAACGCTCCTCTTTCGTCAGGGGTTTGCTTGAATGTGGATACCACATTTAAGATTACTTATTGAACAATTAGTAACAGCTCAGGACCTTTTCAGCTTGAATTCTGAGAGTCCTTTCCTGCTTTCCCTGTATAGTAGAAGACAGTGTTTAAAAACCTTTTAAAAATCTGACAGAGTTGTCAAGTGATTTATCAAAAATTTCCAATAAATGTATCCAAATTTAAAAGCTGGATTTTTAAGTTTTTTCTTTTTTTTTTTTTTTTTGGGTCAGCTACACCCTGTGCTCCAGAGAACCTTAAATTTTTATAGTGATCCCATCCTTTTCAGAAACAAAGCAAACAAAAACCTTCTTGCAGATCAAAAGCTGAATGACCCCTTCCTAATGTAAAACATCATCCAACTTCACACTTACCTTGTCTGATAATTTCATCTTGAAAGAAGACATTTTAAAGTGGAAGCTTTTATAGCCCGATTCATTAACATCACACAACTCAGAGGGCCCTGTTCAGTCTCAACTTTCCTGCCAACAATAAGCTGTGGAGAAGAATTTAGAACTATGGGTCTATTCTTGTACTTCTTGCAAATGTCAGTAGTTTCTTTGAGTTTTTCTAGGGAACTTGGCATCTGGCATTAATTTTTAAAAGGGGGAAGCCTACGTGACACCCTAAAACTACAAAGTAAAGGCTGATATAAAAATTAAAACTAGTTTACGGCTCCTCAAGGGCCTCTAGTGGCCAGTATTGCCAAAACATTAGTTTAGTACGTACTCTCTTCTCAATATCTAATTAGCCCAGTAACGATTTCTTCTTGCACATAGTAGAAGTTATTCAAAATAAATGTAGTCAATGAAAGAATCAGCACAAGTTTGTTCCTCTGGTGAATACTGTTTATGTGGACTCAGTGATTCCTGCCTCTATTTCATTACTTTGAAGCCAATAAAAAGGGATGCTTGTCCCATAATCACTACCCTGGAAGTTGGGCCCTGCCCTTGGCAAATTGAGAAATAGGTCATCTTTGGCATCTTCCGGCTTTAAATCTATTTAAAGCTAGCTATGTAGTTATGGCGCATAGGCATATTACATAGCTGTGTTGAAAAATAATTCAGAGTTATGTGCCAATTACCTAAGAAGTTTACAATACTATTCTGCATATGTAACAGAAAAACAATGGTTTAAGCAAAAGGAATAAATCTCTACTGGTGGAATTTCCAGTGTTAAGGATACGCCAGGGAGGAATTCTCCAGTCTTTTATTATACCTACAAAATCTATCCAAAAGGCTGGCTCATATACAAATATTCAGTATAACAACAGATTTATCTAAGTGAAATTTATAAGGCCAAGGATAATATTTTAAATAGGGCATCTCTTTTCCTTCCGTGCTGTTTATTCTAGGCACCCCTGATAAGGCTATTGCATCAGGCAAAAGCTGATTTGATGTAATAACCTATTTCCTAAAATTTAAAGCTGGTAGAATGATAGACATGGTGGGAAGAAAGATACAGTCACGTTTATATCTTTGAAGAGATGCAACTTTTGTCTCAATAGGTTACCAAGAATTGTTGTTAGTTGCCGTGGTGTCCATTCTGATTCATGGCAACCCCATGTGTGCAAACTAGAACTGCTCCATGGAGTCCATTCTGATTCATGGCAACCCCATGTGAGCAAACTAGAACTGCTCCATAGGGTTTTGAAGGCTATGACTTTTCTGAAGCAGACCGCCAGGGCTGTCTTCCAAGCAGTCTCTTGGTGGGTTTGAACCACCAACTTTTTGGCTAGTAGTCAAGCATTTAACCATTTGCGTCACCCAGGGACTCCTTACCAAGAACTAAATCACCCTAATTAGCTGTTTCTTTTATATTTTAAAATTTTCCTTGACATACATAGCAGACGTTGCCTTGGTCATTTAAGCTTTGCTATTTGGGTTGGCAGTTTTACCTAATTCTGATTACAGTACTATTTAGTCTTCTTCCCTTAAAGAAGCTCAAATGACACTAGGCACCATTTGTCAGCCCAGCATCCTATTGGTGAGTGGAGGATTCCTTTCCTTCTAACACTGACTCATTAGAAAACATGGCCTTTTATCTAAAGGTTTGGCAATGCATTGGACATATTGGAAAAAACACTTCATTATACCATATTTCAGCTCACAGATCTGACTGTCTATCTTCCTCAGCTTCTCACAAATCTTCCTGGCAGGCATATGCACACTCATTGGGCGAGTGACTTCACTTAGGATCTTTGCCGCTGCGTCTTCCGTTGCTCCTAGATAATAGCACTAAGGGAGAATTAAGAGAATTTAGTGTCGGGTGGAGGGGAGTAATATAGTATCTGGAAATAAGGAAAAGATTAACCTAGTTTTCATGGTCCAACTATTAAATTTTAACTCCTTGACTAAGACAACAGAAAACAAGTGACTCAATTCCTGTGATCATCTTAATTAGAAGCGACTCTACAGTTCACATGATGCTAAAGAATGCTACTTGTTTTCTCTGTGCCAGGAGCTACTCAAAGTGTTTTGAAGGTATTAATTTATTTAATTCTCACAACAATCCTGTGAACTAAGTGCTGTTATTATCCCCAATTTACACCCAAGCCAACTGAAGCTTGCCCAGCTAGCAAGCAGAAGAGACAATTCAAAATCTAGCATTTTGGCTCTAGAGCTCATGCCTTTTTCCACCATACTACGTTACCTTTCAAGCTGCTTGACTTAAGATTCTTACATGGAAAAATATCAAAAACAATGGCAAAAATCAATGTCAAGGGTTTTACCACGCGTCAGGGGTGAGCTGTCTATAATGCAAATTCAACAAATTCAACATGACAACTTTAGGCAATGTGCCAATTTTAGGCAAAATGTTCTTCAGCAATGTATATTGTTCAGTATATCGAAACAGGCCATATGTGTATGCCTGGGAAACACCATCTAAACACCATTACGATAAAATTTACGCACCTCATTAAAAAAATCCCATTGCCACAGAGTCAATTCCAACTCCTAGCAACCCAATAGGACACAGTAGAACTGACCCATAGGGTTTCCAAGGAGCAGTTGGTGGATTTGAACTGCCAACCTTTTGGTTATCTGCCATTAGTAACACGTAAATAATAATATAAAAGGCTTTGACAGGCTTGACTAATTGTCGCGGTAAGAAATGGAAAGTCTACCCGCTCTTAACTCTGGGCAGTCAATTCTTATTAGGAATCAATTTCATAATTTTACTTAAGAAACCAGAATTAGTTGCCTATGGCTTATTTAGAAAGCAAAACGAAACTGGATATAGTCTGGATAAAAATACATATGACTGCATTTCTCTGAAAGATCAATTTCGATTTGCCATCTACAATGAACACGCCTGAGGCAAGCATGTAAGCAGGAAAATATCGAGCTCAAGATGAGAAATGAAACTATCAGCAGTTTTCTTCAAGCACAAGGGAACAACGAAAGGTGAAAATTTACCATACCAGGCGGTTTTCTTTTCCTTTGACATCCAAGCAAAAGCTGATCAATTCTTTTTCTATGATGTCCAGAGAAAAGTTAACTCCTTTGGCTATCAAGGAGTTGTAGAATCGGTTCAAGAATTCTTTACACACTAGAAGGAACAAAGAAATTATGTATGTATGCACCATATAGCAACTACCACACCTTTGTGTATGTCCCACTTACCAAATAAAGAAGTTAATATGGTTCAATGCATCATAACGTTGTTGTTGTTGTTAGCTGCCATCAAGTTGGCCCCCTGCTCATGGTGACCCCATGCAGAACAAATTATTGTGATCCATAGGGTTTTCACTGGCTGATTTTCAGAAGTAGACCACCAGGCCTTTCTCCTTTGTCTGTCTTAGCCTGGAAGCTCCACTGAAACCTGTTCAGCATCACAGCAGCATACAATCCTCCACTGACAGATGAGTGGCAACAAGTAGACGGGTGGTGGCTACGCATGAAGTATATTAGCCAGGAAATGAACCCAGGCCTCCCACATGGAAATCGAGAATTCTACAACTGAACTACCAATGCCCCCATGCATCATGATATATATACAGGATGATCAAAACACATAAGGTGGGAATAAAGGAGCATTAGAGTTCAACTTTCTAAGTTGCTTTTATTATTCAGGAGGAGGGTAGAGAAATATTACGTTGTTAAGTCATATTAATTTTTAACCAATTAAGCATGCTAAAAATGTAAGGGTAATAGCTAAAAGCATATAAATAGATCACTTCTAAATCATTATTGGTGCAGGGTGGGGGTAGGCATTTAAAAATTTTATCAGTCCACTAGAAGGGAGGGAAGAGAAAAAAAGAAGCAAAGAAAAAGCAAAACGAATTTTTTTTAAACTCACAAAATTAAGTGGTAGAAATAAATTCAAATATATCATTAATATGTATAATGTATTAATTTTAAAGTTACATAACAAGATTTTTCAGGTTGCAACTTTTGAAAATCTAGCCATATGCTGTTTATAAGAGACCCATAAATAAGTCTATAGAAAAGTTTGGAAAAAAAACCAGGTTTGTTCTGATTTGAACCCCTGCTGAGAATCTGTATTACCACCCCAGATATACTGAATCAGAATCTACATTTTATCAAGATCCCCAGATGATTCTTATGTATAATAAATTTTGAGAACCACTGCTCTACTAGTGGTTCTCGGAATTACTAACCAACAGCATTAGCATCACCTGGGAACTTACTAGAAATGCAAATTCTCAGCAGGGGTTCAAACTGAAAGAACAGGTTGGAAGCCTTGAAAAAGACAAACAAAAACAGATGAAGAGAATTAAAAAAAAAAAAAGTACACCAGGCAAATGCTAACCAAAAGCTGGCTTAGCTATATAAAGCATGATAAAAGTCATTAACCATACTAAACCCGTTGCCATTGAGTCAATTCCAACTCATGATGACCCAATGTGTTACAGAATAGAACTGCTCCATAAGGTTTTCTTGGCTGTAATCTTTGGGAAGCAGAGCACCAGGCCTTTCTTTCACGGTGTCACTGGGAGAGTTCAAACAGCCCATCTTTAGAGTAGTAGTTGAGCGCAAACCATTCATGCCACCCAAGGACATAAAAATCATTACATGATCATAAAATGGGTAATTTACCAGGAAGATAGAATAATTTTTGAGTCAGAATTGACTTGACAGCAACCAACAACAACAACAGTATATAGCCGATAATATAGCCTAATAATACAGAAAGTAAAATCCTGGCAGAATTACAAGAAGAAATTGACAAATTCACAGTTATGGTGGGTAGTGTAACACCCTGTCAACAATTATTTGATCAAATAGACCAAAAGTTAGTAAGGGTATTGAACATTTAAACACTATTCACAAGCTTGATCTAATAACACATATGGAATCCTCCCACAAATTAGAGGATTCACATTCTTTTCATGAAAATATGGAATATTTACATAAATTTGCTAGGACTAAGCCAGCCCTGGTGACACAGTGGTTAAGAGCTCAGCTGCAAATCCAATAGCCACTCCTTGGAAACCCTACAGGGCAGTTCTACTCTGTCCTATAGGGTTGCTATGAGTAAGAGTCAACTCAATGGCAATGAGTTTAACAGAAAAGCCAAAAAGCAAGTCTGAAAAAGTATCAGTTTTGTTTCCCTGAGCTCAGTCAGAAATCAATAACAAAAATAAAATAATAATACTACCAAACCAGTATCTGTCCTCCACATGTCTGCAAATTTTCAAATACACACTTCTAAATAATTCATGGGTCAAAGAAAAATAATGAAAACATAGAATTTTCAATGCTTAATTACAATAAGAATACTAGCTATAAAATTTAAGAGATAAAGCTAAGGCTGTACTTAGAATAAAACTCACAACATTAAAAGTATATATTTCAAAAGAAAAAAATGGAAAATTAATGAGTATACATTCAACCCGAGAAGTTTTAAAAAGTAAGAAAACATTGCATAATAAAGAGAACATACATTAATTAAATAGAAAATAAAGATTGATAAAACCAATAGATGGTAAAATAGACAAGTTTTGAGCAAGAAAAAAAGATAAATAAAAATAAATCAAAAATAAACAATATTCAGACAATCAAAGGGCAAGTAAGAGTTGTCAATAATTAAAAATATGATAACCAAAACTGAAGAAAAATCAACAGAAGACTTAGGAGATAAAGTTGAAAAAAAAATTCCTGGAAAATAGACCAGAAAGCAAAGAGGTGGAAAATGGGTAATAAAATTTAAGAAATTCAGGAATCTCGATACCTAAATAATGAGTTCCAGAAAGATACAATAGAATATGAATTTGCCAAAGATACAATACAGGAAATATTTCCATTACAGGAAGACACAAGTTTCAGATAGATAACCTTAACTCCTACTCATGGTGACCCTGTGTATTTCAGAGTAGAACTGTGCTTCACAGGGTTTTCAATGGCTGTGCTTTTTTGGAAGTAGGTTGCCAGGACTTGAGATGCCTCTGGGTGGATTTGAACTGCTAACCTTTTGGTTAGCAGCTGAGTGCTTTTTCTGGCTTGATAGCCCTCAATAAAATAGATAAATAAATAAAAAGATCTATACCAGCCACACAAATCAAGAAACTTTAGAACTCTGGTGGGAAAGAAAAGATTCTACAATTTTGCAAAAAGAAAAAAAAAAAACAGTTCTAATAACAATTATGAAATAGACTCATCAGATATCTTAACAACACTAGAAACTAGAAGAAAATGGCACAGTGTCATCAAAATTCCGATGGAAAAGTATTTTCATTCTCAAATTCTATATTCAGTCTATCTTCCCTTGGGTCTAGGAGTTTCAGCGCAGGGACCCCAAGTCCAAATGACGCATTGTTCTCCTGACTCTTCTTTCTTGGTAGTGTGAGGTCCTTCTCCTCTCTGCTCGATTCTCTCTTTTAAATCTCAAAAAACACTGACTCAAGATACAACCTAATCCTGTAGATTGAGTCCTGCCTCATTAACATAATTGCCTCTAATCCTTCCTCAGTAACATCATAAAAAAAAAAAAAAACAACAACCAGTTGCTGTTGAGTTGATTCTGACTCATAGTGACCCTATAGGACAGAGTAGAACTGCCCCATAGGGTTTCCAAGCAGCAGCTGGTGAATTGAAACTGCCAACCTTTTGGTTAGCAGCTGTAGCTCTTAACCACTGCACCACCAGGGCTTCATTTTAGAGGTTAGGATTTACAACACATAGGTAATCACATCAGATCACAAAATGGTGGACAACCACACAATACTAGGAATATGATTTAGCCAAGTTGATGCACATTTTTGGATGACACAGTTCAGTCCATAACAGTACCTAACATCGACAATGAGCTACTAATCAGGGATTCCTTTAAATTAAATTGATAACTTGAAATTTTTTGACCATTGATGTGAATTTTGACTGCAAATCTGAGTAAGGACCATCTTGTAGCAATAGTCTTTTAGAGACTTTTTTTTTTTTTCTTTTTTCTACTCAGCTCAGTGTTAAAGCAAATTTCCTTATAGCCCTCTAGGGTAGAGATGGGATTAGGTTTATTGCTGGTTCAACCATACTCTGAGGTGATGCCCTTTGGGAATCCCAGATTAAAAAGAATGAGCCTTCAAGTATATCAAACCCATTGCCACTGAGTAGATTCTGACTCATAGCGACCTTATGGTGCCAACCTTTTGGTTAGCAGCCACTGCGCCATCAGGGCCTAATGCAAGTCCTGGGTTTTGATTTCTGTCCCTTTCATACCAAAGGTCCCCTTTACTTTAACTAGCAAATGTCCTCAGACAAAAAGACTGCAAACTCAGTATATATCTCAGGATTGCTGCTTAACCTTAAATTTTGCCCTGGTAAATCTTTCTATCTTGTCAGCTTGTCAGTGATTTTATGATGTTCTTATATTTTTCTTCTTAATTTTTATTATTATTATTTTTTGGGGTTTTTTTTGGCCAGAGAATTGGTATAATCTGAATCACTAATTTCCTAAAAAAATCTAACCAGCATGATCTTTCTAAAATGAAAGTTAAATCATTCTACACCATCTGCTCAAAATCTTCTTGTGGTTTTCCATATTGCTCACAGAATAATCCAAAATCTTTACAATGTCCAACAAGGCCTGGGTGATCCAGTTCTCCACTGCCTCTCTGACCTCAGCTTCTGCCACTCTCTCCCACTTCAGCCACAGTGCTCTATCTTCAGCTCACACTCAGATTCGGTGTTCAATATGCTGTTTTGTTTTCTTTTTATTTTTTGCTGAATGAATAAATTCCTTCAAATTCATGAGAAAAAAGTTTAATAGAAAAAAGTTAAGTTGAAAATGCATATACACTGGATTGAATAGTATCCGCAAAAAAGTCACATCCACCCAGAACCTAAGAATGTAACCTTATTTGCAAATAGGGCCTTCACAAATGAAATTAGTGGTTAAATTAACATGAGGTCAGACTGGATTAGAAACCAAAAAAGCCAAACCCCTTGCCGTGAAGTCGATTCTGACTCCTAGCGACCCTGTAGGTAGAACAGAGTAGAACTCCCCACTGGGTTTCCAAGGCTGTAATCTTTACGGAAGCAGACTGCCACATCTTTGTCCCGCGGAGCAGCTGGTGGGTTTGAATTGCCAAC